CTAAAGAGGTCAAATTTATCATCCCAATTAGCGTAATTAACATTATTTAGGGAATAATATGTTTTTGATGGCTATGACTGGACTTACGCCACTTTCGAAATCAATGAAATGACGTTTCCAATTCTTGAGAAAGCACAAGTCCATGGGGAAAAGTAAATTTCCCTTGAAATAAAAATAAAAATAACACACTTTTATGTTATAAAATCAAAAAGATATTCTACTTTTTATTCTTTGTTCAATAATTTTTACATTAAAACTGTTTTATTAATTACTATTATTGTTTTATTAATTATTAACATTAATTATCTTTGTTCAATAATTTTTACATTAAAATTGTTTTATTAATTATTATTATTGTTTTATTAATTATTATTCAGTCTTCTCCAGGGATTTAAAATAACTATGGTGTGCAAGTGGTATATAATGTAATAAATCCATTAAGTTCTTGTATTTTAGGTTTGGTGTGAGTGGTCTCGTTTTTTCGTATAGTGGTGCCAACTTGATATTATTAAAGTATTTTTCGGTTTTCCCCGTTCCGGTAGTAAATGGTGCATCCTCGTTTGTTGTCATTTTGTAGAATATGAATCGCTTCTTAAAAATCTCATCCACCATAAATTTTAAATCAATTTACTCTTTCACCGTCAGTATTTTTTAGCCTTTTAAAAGTCGCGTTTTCTAGAGGCTTAGTTGAAATGAACTCCTCACGTTTCATTTCATTTGGAATAGAACTTATTCTTTCGACACCTTTTTATGATTTTGTTAAATTCCTCAGGCACAAACGATAAATTGTTTTTCCTTCTACAACTCCGAAATCTCTATCATTAGGTAGAAATGAGATCCTTTATAGCAGGAACTTATGGTCAATGATATCTGCATTATTCTCTGTGGATTGGACAATTTTGATTTTTAAGCAATCCGAATTCAAGAAAAGAAAGAAAAATTGTAGAAACAAATAAAAATACTCAGCAAGTGAAACAACACTGTTCATCACTCTGGTTTTCAACGCAGAATGCGCTCCTTTCTGTAGACAGGCGCTGCTCTGTGTTTATAACAAATTCATTGTACATTGATAATTCAACTGATAACTACTTTGATAACACTGTGCAACAAAATGAAAAAGCTGGGATCTCATAAAATTTTATTGCATAATATTTTCTATGTCCATTTGAAACTCTCACAATGGGACTTACGCCACTTTCAAAATAAACTTTTTCATCGTTTCATTAACCAGCCAATTTTCGTGTTACAGAATCTTAATGATTTTAAATATAGTAGTAACAAGTTGCTTCAGAATGAAAAGATCGTGTAAAAATGAAACTATCTAAGATACCTAACTCGATTTTTTTGGAAGATGGACTCACGCCACTTTCGAAATAAACGGCTCAAATGATTTTTGTTTCTTAAGAGATTCGTCGACAAGAAAACCGAACTGTGCGTAGGAACGTCTTACGTAATACTTTATGCCTTCGTTGCCAGTTTAACTTTTGTTTTCCTTCTGTTGAAAGTCCCGGTAATAACCAGATAAATATGTAAATATATTCACCGGTGGTAATTTGTCGCACGCATGACTGCTTAATATTTAATCCACGAACGCGACCATCGGATCGACGATAGCGTTCACGCTACGAACTGCTGTAAATTTGGCTAAAAAGCAGCTCGTTAAATATCGTCGCGTCGCGTCGCCCACTTTCATCCTTCTTCTTTCACTTTTAATTGAAATTATACGCTGTTCCTCGTTTGCTCGTTTGCTAAAGACATCGGCGGAATCGTTGCGTAATCGCTCGTTCCTGCAAACAGTCGCGTTGCGTTCGTTCGTTAGTCGCCGATCTCGAGACTCGATCGAGATCACGTGAGAAACTAAGATCTAAGGACACGCGAATCTTTCGTGAAAACTTGACACGCGATGAAAACTTCTTTTCACTTCGAAGAGATCTCGGTCTCGAGTCTCGCGCGGCAAATCGATATTGCTAATGACATAGATGAGCAAACAATTAAGTATGCCGACGAAACGGAGAGTTTCGAAACAGT